AAGCATAGACACCTGTCCCAGGGATCCAACAAAACTATTCCAAGCAAAACCTAGAAAGGAGGACAGAAAGAAGCACAGAACGAAAGAAGCAAAGAAAGAAATGAAGAACGAAATAAATAAAGAAACGAAGAAATAAGGAAAGAAAGAAAGAAAGAAAGAAAGAAGGAACTAACAACAGAAAGAAACACAGAAAGACGGACAGTATTCAGCTCAGAGACAAAGAAAGACAGAACGAATTCGAGAAATAACGTAGGAAAGGCAGAACAAAAGAACAACAACAACTAAGTAAGCAAGTCAAAAGGCAGAGATAACACACCGAACGAAATGCAACATAAACAAATAAATACAGAAAGAAAGAAGGAACGAGCCATCAATTCAGCGCAGGGAGAAAGAACACAGAAAGAAAGAAAGACAGGAAGATATACATAAAGAAAGAACGAGCAATAACGAGTTAAACAATAAAGAAAGAAAGACCAGCAACTCAGCACAGAGAAGTTAGTCCCTTACTAAGGATCCTAAGTAATTGCAAATGTAGTTGCCTCATTAAAAATCTAGTTACTTAGGCCCATGCACTCTTTGCAGAAAGTAAGCATAAAGAAAAAACCCTCTGAAACCATCAAGCCGAAGCCTTCATTCCCAGAGCTTCGTCTTGTGCGTTTTCTCAGGATGATAACGAGTACGATGATGATGATGATGGTGATGAGGATGTTGGCGATGAGGATGTATATGCACATGTACAAGTGTACATGTATATGCATAAGGATGTACATGTACATATACAACTACACATACATACATACATACATACATGCATACATACATACATACATACATACATACATACATACATACATATGTATACATATATATATATATGTGTATATATATATATAGACATGCCAACGTCTGTGTGTGTATATACATATATATACATATATATATATGTTTGTGCAAATGTCTGTGTGTGTGGGGGTTTATACATATATATATGTGTGTATGTATGTATGTATATATATATATGGACGTCCACATGTAAATAGATAAATCCGTCCCCTCGCCCTCCATCCCCGCTCAAAACAAGCCAAGCGAAGTCAAGCATTGTACAGCGAACATGGTGTACACATATACCACCGTCTGCGTATATTCAACTTTGAGCCATGCGAAGCTGCTTCAAAGAATGGTGCTCTATCAATGGACATTCCTTCGTCTAGCAGCCTTTCTACGAGCATTCTGTTTGCAAATACCGGGGGGGGGGCGGTCAACGGACATTTCTTTCCTTCATGAAGCCTTTCCAAGATACAATCATCTGCCCCGCTCCTTCAAGCCGTGCGAACCTGCATCAAAGAATGGCGTACCATCAGTGGACATTCCGTCACGATTCCTTTCTATGAGCATTCTCCTTGCAAGGGGGGGTTGCGCAAGCCCTAACCCCCCGCTTCTAAGATTTTAAGCCATGCGCACCTGCTTCAAAGACTGGCGCGCCATCAATGGACATTCCTTCAAGTAGCCTTTCTACGAGCATTCTGTTGGCCAGTGCGACGGGCAACCCCCTGTGCTTTTGTTGCCACGCAGGCTTGTTTTGCGGCAGGCTATGTCCTCCCCTTCTTTTGCTAACCGAAACAGAGAGTGAGACCAGTACCGCAAGCCGTGATGAGAACATATGAGAATACAAGAAGTGACCTCCATCAGAGTGATGAGAGCGTGCTAACTATGTATTCAAGGCAACTATTCGTTTCTTTTTGATTTGTGCATGGCCTTCGTTGGTATAGGTGTGTTTCGGGGGTGGAAGCAACAATACCTTGATACAAGTAGCACGGCCAGAAGGATTTCCCCCCGAGTACTAGCGGGTTCTGGTGGATTGACAAAATTGCACTGGGGGGGACTCCGGAAGAATGTCAAGAATGTAATGAGAGGGCGTGTTTAAGATGTATGAGGGAGCTTGTTTAATATGTGTGTATATATATATATGATGAGCTGGACTCGCCAGATCAGGGGGCGTGTTTAAGATACACGATGAGCCGGGCTTAAGATAAAAGATGAATCGGAATCGCCAAGTGACGGGGCATTTCAAGATATATGATGACCCGGAACCGCCAGCGTGTTGAAGATACATGATGAACCGGAATCGCCAAATGAAGGGGCATGTGAAAGAAATATCTGCCAGCAAAATTTTGTTTAACACACACCCGGGCGCGGTCGGAATGCTTTCCGGACCAGAGCCAAGAAACTCTCCCCCAAGTATTGGCGCTTTTCAGGCACGAAGCGCCTATCTTCAATATTCCCACGCACGGCCAGAAGGGTTTATACCCCGAGTTCCAGCGGGTTCGGTTGGACTGACAAAATGTTCTTCCTTATGTATTGGCGGGATTCCGGAAGTAAACGTACGGCAAGCCCTCCACCTGAAATGCGTATTATCTTGCCTCCTCTCTATTTTGCATTGCTTACAAAATAGGAATAGTTTCTTTGGATCCTTAATGTTTTTTTAACCTTTTGATTAACCTGCTGCCATTCTTTTATTTTGTTGATAAATTGAAGAATATGTTTTGTTGATCCCTCAAATGGTTTTTGATCTTTTCAATACAGCCTTTTTTATCTTTTCAAACAGTTGTTTATATGCCTCACCGTTACAGAAAAGCAGAACGTTTCGAATGTAATTCACAGTTCAGGGGGCTGGGAGATCGCATTTTTTGGGATATGCAGTGTCGGGATGGGCTGGCTTCTAAACATTCTTATCGGTTCAGCGAAGCCTGCATGTCCCTTCTGCGCTACCAGAGCTCTGCAGAAGACAGACATCCAGTCAGAATGTCTCCGAGTTACCGAACTCTGATCTCTTTGGAAACGGTTTCAGATTGAACGTTGATGAATAACAACAGTTTTCAAACAGTGCCATGATTGCTGTCCGTCGGAGGTCGTGAGTACCCTGACCTCGCCTGCGATCGTGTCATTCAAGACGCTGGGTGCGGACTGGACAGTGGAGGCGTGCATGATCAACTGGCTTTATGCTTAGACTGTTATAACTTTGTTCGACAGGACTCATGCCTGGAACGCAAATTTGAATCCAATCTTGGCCGGTGTCGTCAGTCTGCTGCATCAGTGCATCCTTATCTTCTAGATGGTGCACAGCGCACAGCCCCAGCAGAAATAGAACATCAGGTTTAGTGATTAGGCCGCGCTTCAGTGTCTTTGCAGATCTCTCGCAGGCGCTGTTGGACGCCGTGGCCGAAGCGGCTTGCCGCGGTGAATGCCAAGCACTCATCGACACTGGAGCCTTAGCCTCGGATTTGGGGCCTCCTTGCTCGGACTTTTTGGGTTTCAGCGCTACGGTTTCAGGCCTTCCGGGTTACACGGGGCTTCAGGGCATTGGAGTTCAGGTCTCCTACCTGGGGGTGCATTATAGGGTTTAGACGTTAGAGCTCCAGGGTTAGCGAGGCCCGGTTAGTGCCTTCCGTGCCCTTTGCAGCCTGGAGACGTTGGACTCCTTTTGTTTTATGATGAGTCGGCAGTTGATTCTGGACTGCAACAGCCGAGGGTTTCTTTTGCGTCCGCGTAGTGGAAGCAGTAGCTGCAGAGCATTTGTTGGCCAAGGCACTCGTCACAGGTTTGACCAACAAGGAGGTTGCAGAGCATCTTCTGGGACTCAAAAAGCGACGGGCGCTCGGAGCCAGAGCCAGTAGCAGCCGCAGTAGCCGTTCGTTTGAATCTCCCGGATAATTTTTCTGACTAAAGGGCCATTGACGACGGAAAGCTGCGCAGCCGGCTACGTGAGGTTCAGCTTCAAGCTGTGTTTTGGGCTTTACGCTTTAAGCGCTGGCTGCGGCTGCAGATTAGTGTGTGCTGTGCTTGGAGGTGAACAGCAACAAGTCTAAAGTCCATTGAGAGTCGATCCCAGGCGCGGACGGCTCCATGCCCATCACTCTGCCGGATTGGATTGAGGCCGTAAGCCCAACTTCGATGCTATAACAACAGCAGGCTCAGGATTCAGCGCTATGGAATCTGTTTATCAAGACTAATGTTTATGAACGGCAGCCGTGGCGGAGGCCGCAGCATCGGAGCATCGTTTGACAATCATCTTCCTTGAGAAATCACATGTGGAAGTCTGGTTTCTCTCGTTCGTTTGTCGTGTGACCCTACATTGGACTCTGCTTGTGGCTGAGGGTGTCGTCTTCATCGAGGAGGATGGCGCAAAGCGAATCCTGTCCGAGCCCTGGGGCGTTTGAAGCTCGGAATCTCAGCATCCCTGCTCCTTTGGTTTCAGCTGTTGGGCCTTCGTAGCAAGCGGGGGCCGGCATGCTGTGCTTTCAGACCAGGGGTTGAGGTGCTGAATGTTTGAGTCTTGGGGCTCCGGCTACGGTTTTGGTTCATTCGATCCTTTGCCGGGGAGTCTGCGTCAAGCCGAATCTGGCTGCCCGCTGCTCAAAAAGAGACATCCGGAGGTTGATAGTATCCGATCGTAGCAGTCGTCGTCGTCGTTGTCGTCATCGTCGCAGCCGCAGCCGAGGCAGATGTAGGAGTAAGAGGGGCAGCTGTAGTTGCGAAAGAGCCGCGCGTGTCCAGGAACCGGCAGTCTCGCGAGGTCGGCAAACTGGCGGTCGGGCCCTCGACAGGGCCAGCTTCGCCGTGGATCATCCGCTTGAGGGACTCTTTGAATCTAAGCGAACCTATTTAGAAGCGCGTTTAGAAGCAGCCACTCTGCAGCGGACCGGGCTGTTGTAAGCATCATGTCTCAAACCTTCTAAATGCGAACGGCCATCCTGAGCTTCCAACATTAAAGCCTGAGCTGCCGAATGCCAAGGACAGCGGAGTTCCCATCTCGGCAAGATTCTGCTTCTACGACCAGATCCACACCACAGGAGCGATTTCGACATGACTTCCTAAACTCCGAAGTGTCAAAATCAAGCTTAACTTAAGCCCTCCTCTTGGATCCGATTGGATCCCAGGCCTAAGATGACGGGAGGCTCGGTACGGGCACTCGCCTGTATTGCCAAACAAACCATATCGCCTAAAGGATCGGATGGACACAATACCTTTCTCACCGGGTATTGTTCTGCTGTTCTGCTTGAAGCCCTTCCATGCCCGACAAAGCTAAAGCTTAGACCTCCAAAGGCATGGATATCCAACATCGCTTAGACGCTGTGGCGGCTCTTACCTTGGGCCCGGGACTTACTCCTGAGAGTCACACGATTTAATGGCTCAGCGGGTGGCTTGGGAGTAGAGTTGCATAGTTAAGTGAGAGCTTTTCCCAGCTGGCACTTCGTTCCGCAGCAGCGTCAGGCCTGCCATTCTGCCTCCCAGTATCTGATAAAGAAGGAGTCCCGAAACCCAAGGCCAGAATTGCAGAGTCGTTATTTCGCGTTGCATCCCTCAGTGCAGTGCAACGACACATTACTTGTTGCTAATACTGGCAGGAGTAGGTGCATGAGCAAGAACCATGAAAATGACACCCGTAACAGTGACAATGCTTGCAGGAGCCTGCTTCTGACCGTCGAACCCCCACTGGCCTAGAGACTGGAAGCAGCAGCCGAGCTGAGAGACTTTAACGATTCTGAGACTGAGGCAAAGACATGGTTTGGCGTGGCCCGTCTGCAAGTGGGGATGCCCCGCGGGTTAGGACTACAGGCATTCTTGAGACAATTACTTTCCTGGTGTTGGCTGGAACCTCTCAGTCACAAGCTCAAATGGCGTCCCTTGGCCAACTCAAATCCCTCTGCAGGTGACTTTGCGCAGGGTGCATACAGGCCTGGCGCACCGAGGGACTCAATCCACCTTCCGAGCGGATGTGATTCGGTGGCAGTGACTGCTGTCAGCGCAGGGCCTAAGCAAGTGCTGCTGTGCAAGGATTTTCGTTTACGCAGCTCTTCCACCAGCACGGCAGCAGGTACTGTAGGGCTTCATAGCTTATACTGCTGTTTGGCAATGCCAGGATGCGTGGCATCGGTCGTGGGCAGAGCATCTGTCTCTACATCATCCCAGAGTCGGCTCCTCCGCATCTTTGGGCTTCTCTCCGCCATCACAAGAGTGTGTTTGTCGGATGGCCTCCGAGGATTGAGCAGCTAATTTCGCGGGACATTGGTCTGGCACATCTGCCTCAGTTGCACCTCGGTCGCAGATGGCTGCTATCTCGCTCTGCATATGGAAATGATACACGAGGTCCGAGTTCCAGTCAAGTTTTGCCCGTCGCAATCGCAGCCTTCATAAACTGTATACGTACTATCATTGATAGCCGAAGTGATGCCAATGTAGTATCAGTAGAAGCAGTATGCATTGTTATAGTAGAGTCGGCATCACCTTCTCAGTAAGTCTGGTCTTGTAGGAGCAGGCACAATGGCGGTGATATTCTAGAAGCGATCGCGAAGGTATCCATGGCAACGTAGTGATAAGAGTACAGCGCAACTAGCAAAATCCTGGTCACGACAGTTGTAATCATCGAAGTAATGCTTAAGTTGCACCAGTACGAACACTTGTCCAAGTGACCGTCAACTGTCAGCGATAGTAGGGTCACAAGCGACTGGTTGCGATGGACTGGTGGCAGGCCTGGGTTTGCCTCCCTGGGCAACCGACACAAGGCACACGATAGTTGCTTCCAAGCGTCTGTGGAGTTGAGGGATGCGGGGCCTTGTGAACGCAAGCTCTTCAGTGACTTAGATTTATACTTCGCAGGCTCTGCTGTAGGCGCTTATGCGTGTATTGGCGTTGACACCTGCGCCTTCGATCGCAGGGTGTTCTGGATGCAGTGGCCTGCTGGCTGCTGTGCCAGCCGTGGCCCCAAGGCCTCAGCTTCACGAGGCACTCATATGATACAGTGGAGCCTTGGTAGGGAAGTTTGTGCGCGATGATACATTGTCAGCACAAAAAATAAGGTCTATGCGAACGGAGAAGGTGCAATACGCCATGTTGCAGCTGCAGAACTTGGCCAACATTTGGCGAAGGACAGCTGTTTGCATTGCAGTGAAATTTGGATTCGGACTCATGTCAGTGCATCGTCTTCCGGAGCGACAGTGATGTTATCAGCTACCAGAAGCTGCTCTTTATGGAAAGCTGCTCCCTTCATGCATTCGAAGTCTATGTTCCACTGCCTGAAGCCCATAACCTTCGGAGTCCCACGAACCCAGAGGGGCACATAACCTGAGACATCTGTGATGTTCGCGAGATCTCTTCAACATACTTTCGGGAAGCGGCAGATTGCAGGATCCCCTGCTTTGTAGGCAGTCGCCCACACGGTCTTATCTGCAGCCAGTCAGTTGCTGCTAGGAGTTCGCTCACCGCGGTCATGGAAGATTACGAGGCTCTGTTCCGTGGGATTCTGCCAGACGAGCAGGACCTCGCATCCGTAACACTGGCCGGAGTAGTAGTATAGCAATCTCAACCTAACTTCATCTTTCCAGTATCGCTCCAATATGGTCTAATCTGCTCAGGGTCTATTCGCTAAGTTCCCCAAGCCTCACATCCCCAACTGCATTAGTACAGGGATGAGCGAGTCTCCCACAGAAACTGCCCATGATGTACAAAGGTCCGTCATTGCAGCCGAGGTTTGGACTCTAAGTTTTTCAGTTTTCAGACTTGGACGTTGCTGGATTTACACGAGCGGCAGATTTTGGCGCCGCGAACGTGCATCCAACATACTCTTTGCGTCGTCGATCTGCTTGTCGGAGCTCAACCCTGCAAGCTAAAACCCACAGTGAGCCAGGTGCAGCCATTCAATTCCGCATCCACCCCAACCAAGACAACACACACTCCGCGCATTTGCACACCTGACAATTCGTTGCCAGGCAATGGCTGGCATGAAACCAGAAACCCTGGCAAGGGTCCAAGTCTACAAGGAGCCCATCGATTTCAAGGTGCCGTCGCATGCTTTGTCCGTGGAGTTTCCAGCTCCTGCAGCAGCATGATCTTTCTTGGTGGAACAGGTTCCGTCAAAAGTACCGTGTGGGACTGAGCGGTCAGCATCACTTTTGTTTTTGTGCCCTGCGATGCTTTATTTATGTCAGTATATGTCCAAATATGTAGTGTCGACATGGTGTGAAATACTTCTTGGCAGCATAGAATGTGGTGTCCACATTTTACTGTTACTAGCCATATAGATGCGTGCATGTACAGATGCGTAGGTTAAGTCCATATGACAGTTTCATGTGGTCGTGCCTTGTGGTACCCTTCTCGACCCCTCGTAGACCCCAGTACTGTAGAATGCCGTAGACCCCTTATGGTACCCCTTAGGATACCCTTCTAGCACCCCTTACTATGGCACCCCCTTGCGGCTTGAGACGATCGAGGCAATTGGACACTATCGGAGCGGCGGCCGAAAGGAGGAGTTGGAATAGATGCAAACATCAAGGAAGCCTTTATAGTAAGCCTCGTAGAGGAACCCTTATGTAGGTGTTTAAGGCTTCTAGGGAGTTCTAGGGAGGAGTCTAGGGAAACATGGCGTTTGGGGGTTTAGTGCTTTAGATCAAGGCCTGTGTCAATGAACTTGGTGTGTTGGCACTGGTGGCGCAGGATAGCAGATGCACAGCGCTTCGTCCAAGACGCAGACAGGCGGGCGCGAGAGTAAGCTATCGGCTTCCTCAAACGAGAACTTCAGCAAGAGCATGACAGCAAGCGGCATGCCACAGCTGAGTCTTTCTTGGGAACTCGCGCTGCCCTGGATCACGCACTCTGACACATCTAGACTCTTCCAACTTCATTGCGAATGTGCTCGGAGCTCCTCGGCTTCTACCATTCAATGCCTGATGCAGCTCGAATCCCACCCCTGAAAACCACTGGAACCAGGCCGGAGCTCGAGGAGATTCGGGGCAACATGCGACGTCTCGCAGAGGTGGCACGTCAGGAGAGAGGTGCCGTGGAGGTTTCAAGGCTGTGGGGGTTCTAGGATGCTTTGGGGCTGTAGGGCTCAGGATTGAAAACTGCGTTGTTGATAATGCTTCACTCGTAGTATTCTTACGAGCAAGAACAGAACTTCGGATCGTTTGTGATGGGCCGGCTGCCACCACCACTACGACTGCAGCTGGTACCACCACCGCGACCGCGACCACTACTGCCACTGCTACTTACCTGCTCACTCACTGACTCAAACACAAATCACTCGCTCGCTCGCTCACTCGCTCAGTCAGTCACTCAGTCACTCACTCACCCACCCACCCACCCATCCACCCACGCACTCACTCACTCACTCACTCACTCACTCACTCACTCACTCACTCACTCACTCACTCACTCTCACTTGGCGTACTAGTGCTGCTACAGCAGCTGCTCCTGCCACTAATGCGACTACTTCTCCTAGAAGCTCCTGCGAGTATGCTACCTCGCTCCGATCGTAAGCACTAAATGCCCAAAACCCTAAACTCAAGCCTATAATCCATCTCAAACTCGAGGACGACGAAGACGGAGGAGGACGACGGACTAGTATCCTGCGATTTCTATATACCAACGAGGGCCAACAAACCCTAAACCCGTACACCCCTGAACCTAAATCCTGAAATCCCTGAACCCTAAACCCCAAAACCCAAAACCCTATAAAGCATCTCCAGCTGCCTTCGAGGCTGGCGGTGAGACCGAGGAGACGCAAGGAGAGCTGGGGCCTCTCTTCCTTAGGGGAAAGAGTTCTCTCTACGGGGCCCTGCGAAGTTGCCGACCCGAGATTCATGCAACACAGGATTTCTGTTGCCAGCAGCGACTCATGACATTCAGGCCACAGGCTTTCGCGGCGCCCGCAGCAGCTCATGAGCTATGTCAGCATCACCTGAGGAGTCCAACAGAATATCTCGACCGCCCCATAACTTGTTGCATGAGAAAGTCTGATCCATGCAAACACACCTGAAGTTGTATTTCTTTCGAAAGGCTACAATACTGTGCTTGTTGGCCATCCTTATTGCCATGCGTGATTCGATCTGATGTGTTCCGAATGCTTGGATCACCCTCCATATAAGACTATTCTGATTCCCCACCATAACAAGCTATGGATTATGTTTCGTAGTTCGAGTCCCAACCTGAACCCTAAACCACCACCCGAATTCCAAAAGCCTTCGCCAGATTTGTTTAAGGCCATGACGCAGAGGTTGGGCTACGCACAAGGATTTGTGCTAGGATTCGATCTAGGGTTGAACGGGGCTAGATAAAGCCAAATGCCCCGAAGCAAACCAGCCGTAGTGACTCGGACGCTCAGGCGTGGACTGGAGACGGAGCAGCAGCGAGAGCAGGAGCAGGAACGCCAGCAGGAGGCGGGGGTTTAGGTTTTGAGGCTGTTCGTAGAGCTGTGGGCTCAATCAGTTTTATCAGTGCTGGATCGTGACCCTGTCAGCCCCCCATTTCTATTCGTCCCTGAGCTCAGCCTCGAACCCGACTGAACTCCTGAACTCTCAGGTCGAAGAGGAGGGCCAACGAGAGCAGGAGATTCAGATCGAAAAGTTCGTGGACCTTATGCACATGGCTCAGTAGCCACGGGTCCTGGGTGGCATGAAGATGTTCGCGTGAGAAAGAGGTGGAGGGAGTGGCGGGCGTACTGACATGTCATCTCCAGCAGGCACTGTCGTGATCATGAAGAGCCGGTACCTTGGGACGTGGCGGGCTTGGCTAGCTGCACTCGAAGCCAACCTGAGGTGTGCAGGGTTGATGGCTTCATTTTAAGGAGATTCAGGTCCAGGTGTCCTGGACTTTTGAGGATACGGCGCAGCCAAGCGCATTCTCACAAGGCTCCGTGAAACTACTTGAAGACCCAGCCCTCCAAATTTGCCCCTACGGATCCGCACAACCCAGAACCTGTCAACCCTTGGTCGCCATGTAACCTCGTGATCCACGTCTCGATCCACAAGCTTGCTTAGCTTCGAGCTGAGTCCGATGAATCATGGGGTGCCAAGTATACCAATCTTGGAATGTTGATACTACTTCCATTGCTCGCTTCGTTCCGTTCCTGTGACTGCTAACGCTGCGAGTGGTTGTACGTCCCTTGGTCCCTTATTCATTTTCGTTTCCCGCTTCGGGCGGTTTTCTTCGCGGGCGGCGCCGGCGAGCTTTGTATTGCCAGGTGGACACACTGGCAGTGCCGGCCGAGACGCCAATCCCGAAGCAGTTCTACGAGGTCTCTATTGAGACATGAGAGCTTCGCATGAAAAGTTGCCTGCCTTTAAAAGGGCCCTCACCGAAACTCCAGGCCCGCGACTTCCGCCTCTGGAAGAGACAGCCGCTGAAGTCCCTGCCGCCGGGAGCTTGGCAGCGAAGGACTCTGCTGCGGTGCTGCTATTCGAGTCTCCTTTTGCAAAGGGAGAGTTCCAGCTCCCCTTGCTCCATCCTCTTTCGACCAGTGGCGTCGACTGCTGACTAGTGAAGGTCGGGGTCGTTTTCTGGCCATGGCTTGACAGGTCCGCTTTGGGATAGGCCTGAATTTGGGCTCCCTCCAGAGTTCCGCCTTGTAGACAGGATCATGGTGTGCGTTGCGGGGTAAATCCTCAGGTGCTGTTTGGATTTTGCCCACAAGAGGTCGGATTTGAGTTTCCTTGCAATGGTCGGGTGCTGGCCGCCAAATCCTGGCTGCCAGCCAATGCGCACCGTGTTCCAAGCCGCTGCACTGCGAATCTGAGGCAGGAGTGCCTGCTGTCCCGGAATTGGCCTTGACCTTGGAGCCGACTGTCAGAAGGTAGTCGTCTGGTGATATCCCCCCCCCCAACGCAAGTATGATATCCATAGTGTCATAGTCATATGACGCCCGACAAGACCAGAAGTTCGCAAACGTTTGAATGAGCGCATCGTACACCCTCGGCCTAAGCCCTGGAATGCCGTCGGGCAGGTGCGGAGGGGCTGGAGGTATTTGATCGGGGGTTATTATATATATATATGTATATATATACACACATATTACAGATATATATATATATATTTATTTATTTATTTATTACAATAACATAATACAATTTATAATATGATATATTTTCATACAGTATATTTATATTTCATTGCGTGCTTCCTGCTCTGGGGCCGCAGCTTGTGAAAACGTCTTGAGCTTGAGAAGCTGGTTCTGATTCGTAACGACGTGACGGGAGAGCAAGCAGCGGGTTAGGGTTTAGGGTTGTGCTTTAATAATTAGATTAGGGCTTGTGGGGCCCATTATACTACAATGATAATAAGGACCCCCCCTCTCAAAAAAAAACAAAAAAGTACCGAAATCCTAAAGTTTTGATCGCCCGATAGCGATAGCACTACGAGCAATTAGACAACTAGTGCTACTAGCAGTGATGAGCCATGAATAGAAGTCTACCATTACAGGGAATGTTACCTTGCTTTTGATGCATCCGATGCATCAAAACAACTTCAAGGTTCGATCCCCAATGGAGCGGCTTCAGACGTGTGAAGAATGTCTTCATGCAGCTGGAGTGGGTCAGAAGCTTACGTGGGAGGCAGGGCTTCTCAGCCCTCGTAGCAGCTACCAGTGCTGTCCCAAGCCCGTTCAAAGAATTGCAACCGCCAAAAGTCCCGAAGTCCGAAGCCAGGACTTTGGAGCACGCATTTCCTTAGGTCTCGGACAAGAGCCGCTTGCGGCGGGCCAAACATGAGTTGCCGCTGAATCGCGTGGAGGAGTGCGTTGAATGCCCAGACCGACGTACGTAATGGGGGAAGTTTCATACTGCTGCTATGTGGTGCGAAAGAGATACATGACCAGTTGAGTATTCGATTAGTAATATACCCTGGCCTCCTTGCGTTGCCACAGGCGGCAAGCAACAATTACAAAGCTCGCAATTCGAAGTCACCCAACTTGCCCTTCACTACTCAGCACAGATCCCTGGAAGGAGCACGAGATGCACCGGAAGCTGCACCTGGTGCGCTGGGGCAGATTTGTCCAAGTCCCGCTCCCTAAGCCAAAATCCGCCTCTATCATGATGGCTATTTTTCATAGTTGCCCGTGTGATTTCTTCTTTACCTTGAGTCTTCACCCCTACATCTACTTTGTCAAAAGCCGAGGGCTCATTCCCCAGGCCCCAAACTCAAACAAGACTCGAAGTCTGATTGACGTGAGAACACAAATGTAGAGTGTTATCTTCGTGAAAAGCATCGTCGTATCGTAAAGCGATGCAAGAGTACTGCACGTCTTTGCCACAGCGTTTAACCCTCGCTCATGGCACAGCTCGCATGGCAGAGAGGGCAAGACAAAAGAGCAAGAGTGGAATTCAATGCTATGCACTATGTGGCCGGAAGGTAATGCGAGGTTTGAATATGTGAAGTTTTTCGACTTCCCTTGTGACAACACTTTGGCAGGCAGATTGGAGCATTAAGCACGTTGTCTAGTTCGCAGTTCGCACATGTAGGCAGAAGCACCTGTGAAGCATGGCCTATGCGGCTCTCATGTCCGACATCGAGAGCGCCATCAAGCCCAACTCTGCAGCGGATGACGCGGAGCCGCGGCTGCGCAGCAACTGCTCGAGCACCTCCAGCGACTCCGAGAGCTCCACATGGCTGCAGCTTGTCAGATGCTTTCATGTTTCCTATGTTGGTGCAGTTTGTTTAGGCTTATATGAGTATTAGTAGACGAGGGGCGTGGAAAAGCAAGAGGTGATGGAATGGGCATGGTTTAGTGGGGAGGGAGGGTTTGCTGGAGCCTTCCCATCAAGCAGAATGCGAGTGCGGGCCTAATCTGCAGATTCAGCAGCCGGCAGGGGCGAAAGCCGAAATGCCGAAATGCTGCAAGCCGCCAATGGTTAGTCGGACATGCAGCTGTTATTCACCGTGTCCGCCCCACCCTTGTCCCAGGCTCGCCAATAGCTCTGACCCTGATCCGTCCAATCAGTGATTGAACAGCGTCATTTCATCGTTGCTTCCGTGGCCGCGAGCCTGCGCGACTCATTCAACTCACGAGCATAGCTTTCTCAAAGTGCAGCATGATGTCGCATGTGATGCTCCTGTGTCAGCCTTTCCGTTGTCGACCCCGCGGCAGCAACATTGACCTCCGAACCTTCAGTGAACGCTCCGAAAATGTTACCAAAGTTAGCTCATGAAGCCACCACCGTACCCAATCAGCCGCACCTCCAGTGCCGCAATAAGGCAGTTTGCTGAAGTCGACGGGCGGCCTCCACCACGATGCTTCGTAAATGCAGAAGTGGAGCATATGGCCAACGAGAAGAACCGCGCCCTAAGATATCGGGAAATTGCAGGACCTGCCTATAAGATGCTTGGATCTATTGCGAAGGGTTTCGGGCATCTTTTATGTGGTCTGCTTATATTTTCTGTGACAGAGTGCAAAGCACAAAGTGCAGGAGTCCCAGGCGAATCCCGAGCAGCCAAGGCTTCTTTTCGAGACCGTTGTCGCATCGGTGTTGGGGCCCACTGTGACACTCGGACATGCTAGAGCAAAATTTGTTGTATTTTTTTTGTGGTTATCAAGGTTTCGAAACCAGCATACGCTGACCTTTGAGACTGCAAGTTAGATCAGGATTTTCATCTTGGTCTACCTGGGCTCCTCCTGTGAGAATGGCATGGACAAACCTGTCCCTTATTGGATCTGGTTCTGCGCCTTGCCCTTTGCACTGCTCCATTTCGTGCAAGAGGTCCGCATCTTTCGCTACACAGCGCCCCGTCCATATTTGAACTTCAGGGTCGGATGGCTTCCCTGGGGCTTAAACTTGAAGGCGCAGCTTGCCGAAGTACTGGATTCATTGTGGCCAGCTCAGGGTGTATAGGGTGTTCAGAAAGTTGCTTGGTTGAGTTGATTTGCAGCTCTTTGATCCTGCGGCTTGAAGAGCTACTCTGAACCACCAAAAATCACGATCACTGCCAGCAGAATGCCTGCTTCAATGCAGCCGTGCTCCGTTGTGCATCCTCCGATGTTCCATTGTCTCCAGACACATCCGACCTTCACGAAGTCCAACAAGCCGTTTAACATAAACTACACAGTATTAACTATACAGCTGAAGCTGACCTTACACCTGCAAGTACGCAGACTTTTAGCTACTTCATTCTCACCTCCCGATTCCAGATCCACTGCCCGTATTAACAGGACAGTTAACAGGGCAGAAACCCCAAACCGACAGCCGCACCCAAGGCCTGGGGGGGAAGCCAGAACGTAAGCAGAGTCTGCTTGCTGTTCTACTTCGGATGCACGTGCGCTTCGACCCAACCTCATAACCCCTTGAACACCAAAGCATCGAGTTCCGACCAACACTGAAATCCCGGCAAAGCCCTGCATAGACCCCCAAAGTCCCCAACGCCTGGACCCCAAACCCTGTCATACCTCGTCCCAAGATACAAAACTCCGAAAGCCCTGAACGGCCCCCTGAAACCCAAGACCCCTCGAACCCCTGAACCTCCCAGGTCGTACCCTACTTCCAGGTAGTGGGCCGGTTTCAGATGCTCAAAGTTCAGATGGGGCCAGAGCTTTGGTTACTCGGAGGAAGCATTGAAAGCGACGGCTTTGTTGGCTTTAGGGTTTGCAGGCTTGGGGCTTTTGAGGCTTTGTGGCTACAGGGCTCAGGGTTTGCAGGGTTTAGACTTGTAGAGGTAGCCTCAAGATCGAGACTAGATTTCTGTAGCCCGGTATCAGCCTAGTAAGCATAAATCGTCAAACACCCCGAACCCTCAATACTTTGTTTGATGAATTTCCTGCATTAGGCGCTAGCAGGGTTTAGCAGTTTGTATGTGGTTCGAGATTAGGTATAAGGTGAGATTTGGATGACGTAGTTCAGGTCCATGACCAGGTCTCTGGAAACCACGACTCTTAAACTTAAGCTCTATACAGCATTCTCTCTAGAGTAATCTCCGACGAAGGATCCTCATCAATGCTGCCAAGTCTTTGGCATTTCAGGGGGCTGTGTTTTCGAACGCAGTCTTTGCTGCCCGGACGTTTGCCACCTCCCACTGTCCTCTACCATACCATGGGCACACTCCTGAGGGGGATTTCTCGACGAACACGAGCTTCGATGAGATTTGGCAAATTACGTTGCGGCAGTCCAGCTTCGTATTCTTTATGCGCGACGTCCCGTTGTCCGCTCAGGTGCTGTTTTTCTGGCTCCTATCCTTCGCACCCTTGATCCATGCCATCTTGGAGTCTCTGCCAAGCGATCAATGGATTTGGGAGCTGGACTTTACCTTAGACATGGAGAAACCCAATGGCCAGTCGGCCGGTGCAGCCGACAACTCCGGTGAGTACCAAAACTTCCTTGGAGGAACCTTCACCTTCGGGGACTCCGTTATGATGCTGTCGAGTGGCCTGGGCATGTACCTCATAGACGAGCAGAGCCCCTCCTACCCACGGGTCAAGACCTATCGTGTCTTGGACAAGCTTCTGCATTGCCTAAAGAAAGACCACGGCAACGATGACAACTCAGTGACTTCATCCCAGGAGGCGTTGAACGACATGCGGCAGCCCCTCCAAATTTACACAAGGAACGCCTTGACCCGCTGTTTCTTAAAAGTGATTACATTGGGCCTCTTCAACAGTGCGCTGCAGATCCACGTGCAAATCTCGGTCTATGCCATGTTTCGGGCTACCGCTCAGAACAAGACCGTGGACTTCCAGCGCTTAGTCTCCATCGGCCTCAGCTTGGGTGGTGCCCTCTTCTTGTTGATCAACGTGGAGAAGGTGCTTTTCTATGGCCACACGGCCATTCGGAAGGTGGAGGACGTCATGGCACACATCAACGAGTCTTCAATGCCTGTGACCTGGAAGGACTTGAAGAACTACTTCGCCTACCGCTCTGCCGAGATGCAGGTCATTCGATACCGGGGCTACGTCCGTTATTCTGCCATCACCTTCGTCCTGTGCATCGGCTTAGCCATCACAAAGCTGTGCATGGTTGCTGGGCCCTTGCTGCAGCAATATTTTGTTGACAGCTAAAAAAAGTACATTTGCCCAAATAAGAGAGTTGCCACTTGCCTCTGGTCCAGGTTTTCCGATGCCCCGACTCTATGTGGAACCTGGGCTCTCACCACTCCTGCGTGGACCTGGCATCTGTGCTGGTAGTGTCAAATACCTGAACAATTGCCATCGCATCACACGTGTGCGCAAGGTTTTCTATGAGGGAGGTGCCTGTGATAGCTCGCCTCTCTATACGTGTCACCTGCTCACATTGCAGAATGTCAGACAGCAGCGCGGCTTGAAAGATAGCACATCTCATTCGGCGGCAGAACCACGTAGACCCATAAGCACTGCCTCACTACATAATGCGTGGCCCACTTCTCTGCTGTGATAGCACAACATCGCGGCTGGACTCCTGGAACATCCCATTGCAATGGGATCAGTATTGGCGCTCTGCGAGACTGTTACTTTGTACTGCACGGTGACCGTACTGAAGTCTCGAAGCCTCAACGTGATTTCCCTTTGGTCATTAGCTAATCTGGCGCGCCAACCACACAGATCCCCATGCATGTCACCGCATGGTTTTGGCGAAGCGTTCCGCGGTGTCCCAGAAATTACCTGAACTCGATCACAGACAGGAGATCCTTCACTCATCATCCCTGGACCTGCGGCGAGTCCTAAACCCTAAGTCCCTATAAGTCCCTAAGTTCTATGAACCCAAAAACACCTCCTTTCTGGCAGATCTGGGATCTCCTCAGCCGGAAGGGCGCGGCTGATGGAGCCACTGACCCAGAACGAGTTTGGCTTCAGGCAGTAGGAGACATGGATCAGCCTGATCAAGCACGTGCCGAGGCTGTTGAGCTCTTTTCTGTGGGATGGGGGCTGCTAAACCCACGGGCTGGCACAAGGGACCTGTGTCTTGCTCATGCATTGTCGGGTGGAATGTGGCGGCTGCAGTGAAAGCTCAGGAAATGGCACCCAAGTGGAGGTACAGTGGCTCAGAGGAAGCCCAGGGATCTCCCCTGCCTGGGCCTCGAGACCGCAGTGACGTCGGGGCTCAGCGGCTGCCTTGGGTTCTGCCTAGACGACAATCGTCGAAGCCTCCTCCGCCGACAAGCATCACTTGCCCTTTTGACTCCTTGTTTAGTTTCGTGGAGGAAATTTCTGGCGCCTTCCGCCAGACGGGACATGTAACATAGGGGCTTGAATAACCTGCAGCTTAGCAAGCCCGCTACGAGACCCGCAGAGCTCCATGTGCAAACGCTAAGGTCTCCAAGCTCTCAGGCACATGTTGACTTCGAACCGCACGGAGCCCAGAGACAACGGAAGATAGAGACAGGAAAAAGAGCAGAGTCAAAGAGAAAGATACAGAGACAGAGCGGGAGAGAGAGAGAGAGAAACAGACTGTTGCAGTTAAGTATAAAACGCTCTGGATGTGGCAGCATTGGCTTGGTTGCACCTGTATTGTTCCGTTTACATTTTTTGAGTGTGTGTGTGTGTGCGTGTGCGTGTATGTGCGCGTGTGTGTGTGCGTGTGCCTTATCTGTTTGTTTTTTGAGCACGCGCCATAGAGGAATAGCAGGGCTCGCAGCATGTTGCCATAGCAGTGTATTTTATTGCAGACAAATCTTTTGCATCTACTTTTTGAAGACCTAGTGCCCCTGTCCCACAACATGAACTTTGCTTTCTCGTACTGGATGGCCTCCAAGCTAAACCCCGCTGCTGTCGAAGGCCCGAAGGTGACATCGAACACATGGAGATTCTGAGGCTGCTGCAGGCATGATGGATTCGTCAGCACAAGTCAGGACAGTGTGACCCAGGTACATAAAAGTACATGCTTCGGAGACTGAAAGGTCCGACTTGCGCAGCTTTGCCAGGCATTGGTTTTGTGGCAAACAGCTGTTTCTAGCGCTTGCAACTTTCAGATTCAACAGCCGTAGCAGTCGTCGAGCCAGAAAAACTTTGGCCCTTCTTCATGTCCACCTTCAGCGGCTCCCGATTCAGGCTTCGTTCGACTGGGTCGGCAGCTTAGCAGCTGAGCACCAAGCCGGTCCCGCGCAGTGTAATCATGGAATTGCAGGGTGGAGGCCTTACACCCAACTTCGCAGGTTTTATGGAGTGCGCGAGTTTGCAAGCCAGGGACTCCCCAACATGCAGAGCAGAGACAGTGTGAGTTTCGGACCCAGCCGATCTCAGTCGAATGTGGCCGCGTTCCATAAGCAACGGGCCGGGTAGTCGTTAGCAGCGCAAGATTTGTTCGAGGAACTTGAAGTATCATTGCAAAGTGGCCCCGCAAATTTCTACGAACACTGCTGCTGTTTAGTCCCATCTGTCATTCTCACACCTTGTCAAGTCATATCCTGCAAGCCCGAACACGGCGAACCTTACCACAACCCACCCTCCCGCCCCTCTAAACATAGAGCCTGAACCATGCCAGGACACAGCCTTTCACTCTGTGTCCGCGGCCATGGCGGTCCTGCAAAGTGGTGGAGACATCGAGGTTGGCTGTCGACTGTTGCATTTGAGTGTTGAGCTGGTCTCTCTTCAGCTCTGCTCGATCCCAAGTCCAACCTAGTCTCTTCCCTGGAATCTCGTTGTCTGTTGCCAGATGGAAGAGAGATCGAATCAGCCTAGTTTCGGCCTGTTCCACATGTTCTATGTCGACTATTGACGGCAAAGATCCAGACTTTTGCTTCGAAGCGTCGGGCTTGGCACCAAGAAACAAGAGACAACCGAGAGGCAGCAGCTGCGGCTGCAGCAGCGGTCTTGCCTGATAAGCCGGAAAGCGCACGCCGTTGACTCGGCTGCTTCAGCTTCCAATTCGACGCACAAGCGGGCCTCCGGCTGACCTCTCGTTCAGGTTCGAGGTTCGGTAGGGAAGCCATGTTGTTGAGGCTTGTGCATGAGTTCGCAGAGAAGGATGAAGATTTTGAGGGTCCTCCTGCTGGGATCGTCGAGGCCTGAACTACATCGAGGCTTGCAAGCTGCTCCGTTCGGTTCCCAGCTTTGCGGGACTCCGACGTGCTGCAGAGCGCAGTTCTTGCATTTGTATATCTCTTCATCATCACGTTGTAGCCGTAGCGTCACACCGTTGCATCCTGCTGTATAGACCAGCTACTGCAACCTCCAAGAGTTCTTTCGCCTTCATTGACTGCCTCAGATGCAAATCCGAGGTGCAGCCTACTTCCGCCCCAGAGACGAGGGCCGTGGTTTCATCATCCTGTCTCTGGCAGAGGCAGGAGATGAGCGGTCCAGCGTCAAGCGTCCAGGGAGGGCATTTGCCTGCGGTTTGGGATTGGGTTTTCGGGTTGCAGACTCAGGCACAACACACTCACTACAGCCAAACACATGGCCTGACAATTCAGCGACAACTCCACAATTGACTGTTGGGCTTCAGCGCCCTTACCGTCTGGAGCTTTTTGGGTTGTGGCGCCTTCGAATTCGGTTCTTGCTAGGGGTCGGGCTTTCTGGTTCGTCTCGCGACCTAAAGCCTGAAATCCGCATTGCAGCGGGCTTGCCAGGTCAGGGGTGAGCGGCATTCGGTCGACTGTGCTCCAAAGCATGCGCGTATGGCATGATACCAGTAGCAGAGTTCCTAAAAATCTAAACTTCTATGTCCCAACGATTCATCTACTGCGGAGGCCGAGACCTTGCGCCGGATCATGCACTGCCGTCGGCAACTTGGGCGGGTAGGCCTTCGAGGGAGTGTCCCAAACGACAGTACTGATGTTCCGTCACATCAAAGCTCGCTAGAATCGGGCTAAGCTGATTCAATTCTTGAGCTCACTCATGTCATGTACAGTCAGTCTGCGTAATCTCGACATGTGATTTTGTTCCCAATACCAGGATGATTCATGCAGTGGTTGCTGTTCCATGCTAGACCTCAAGACTTGGAAGCCCGAAACCTGTCGGCTTCTGTTTCTCCTCTTCCTGAATGCCGATGCCATAACCGCTTCACAAAGCTGACAGCCCCAGACCGAACTCCGGAAGCCCGGGGGCCCTAAACGAAAACCCAAACGTAAGGAGTCAGCAGACCGCTGCTTCCGCAGCACCCCGAGACCAGTGTGGCCCTGCCGAGACCTGAATCCGGGCTGCTCCGGCGGTAATCAGCTTCTTGTGCTTCCAGTCGCTGTGGGTTTAGGGTTTCTGATTCGTTCGCGACGGTCTACGGTCTCGTGCTCAAGAAAGGGACTCGGCTGTGTCACCATCTACTGGATCTGAGAGGGCATGTGAACGTGCATACGCTACGCCACGCGAAGGCGTTGTGTGATGTCCAACCACATGATCTTTGATGAGCCGAGAGCTCAGGGGTGACATTCTCCGAGGGGTGGCTTGGCGTTGTGCAGTAACTAGCACGCAGAAGTCTTTTGGACATTGTTTCTGGTTCTGTCGCTTCTAGTCAGTTGTTGGAATTCTGGCTGACTCGGGAGTTGTTTCATCTTTGCAACCCCTGCGAACCCACACAGCGCATGACTTGCGTAAGCTTCAGTGATCTTGGAATATCGCTAGTGTTCTGCCTCATGCCACAGTAATGCAGCATCATGAGGTCATCATTTTCTTCTTCTGAATTTAAGATGGACCTTTAGTTCTTTTGGCTGCCGACCTCAGTGGAAGACCTTGTCAGGTTGTCAGGTGGGGACTTCGGTTTGGAAAGCACATCCTTTTGAGTGCAACCGGTGGGTTCCGCATGTCTAGACACTGCACCCGAGCTGCGACGCTCCAGCGCCTTGAGCTACCGTCGTTGAGACTTCGAACACCTGCGAACCGTGACATAATCGCTCCCAACACCCCTGCTGAGGTCAGTCGGCTTTGGATCAGGGCCCAAGTTTCAGACCTCCAGCATGTGGTCGCCCAAGCTTTTGTCTTTGCCGGGCCTTGTGGCTCTGGGATGGTTAAGGGCCGGCCTTGGGGTCCAGGCTTCTAGGGTTTTACAGAACCATTGGGAGTTTCGACCCGACTGTCCGTCAGAACGTCCGGGGATGCAGTTTAGATCAGGCGGGCCTTGTTTAGCTGCGTGGGATTTTTATCAGGTTCAGAGCCGATCGGGGCAGCTCGGATCTTCGGGTTCCTCTCACGTCGGGATTTTGGTTAGGAGATTCGGCTTTGTACCTTGACCCAACACTTTTAAACCATTCCTTAAACTCAGGCAGCAGGTGGCCCGGTTCCTGGATTGCCAGAC